TTAGGGGTTTTTAGGGTTTTTAGGGTTTTAAGGGTTTTTAGGGTTTTTAGGGTTTAGGGTTCCTTTAAGAGTGTGTTTGAGGGGTTCTTTTAAGGGATCTATAAGGGTTTATAAGGTTTGGGGTTTAGGCGGTCGTTTATAGGGGATCTGGAAAGATTTCGGGTTTAGGGCTTAGGGGTCCTGAAGGGATCTTTGAGGATTTAGGGTTTAGCACTTAGGGGTCCTTAAAGGATCTATAAGGGTACGAGACGGGGAGTCTCCTTTGAGCTTCATGGCTGCATGATTAAATTTCAGGGACAATATTATCACGGTTTAGGGTTTAGGGTTTAGGGGTACGTATCACCTACAAAACCGAAGAGGTTTCATATATTTGGGGTTTATGAACTCAGCAACGAAGTAAAGGTTCCGTTAGGGTTCGTTACGGGGTTTAGGGGGAAGAGAGTTCCTTTGGTTGTCTCCTTCTGTTTCTGAGGGTGCCTAAACCCTAAACCCTAATTAGAAGTTTTGCTTGGGTTTTGGGGCGGCTGGGAATGTGCTTCCAGTTTTTTTGAGAGGTCGATGGGTGGGAGTTTAGGGGTCGCACCCGAAGCTTTCCTGGCTGCCAGCCCGGTGTGACATGAGTAATATAGAGGCCTGAATTTACTATTTTTTTGGGGGGGGTTCTTTATTATACTTAATTGTGGTATTAATATACCCCAAAACCCTGTTCTAATTATTAAGGCCCCTATGTTAGGGGCGGATGCTCAGAGACTACACATCTTCCCAACTAGACCTTTCATTATGGAGGGACCCCCCCCCCCCCCCCCCCCAATCAAGGGATCACCAGGACCCTCCTTCTACGTTCAAACAGGGAAATTGGGTACTTACGGTCTCATAGAGGGTAGACGGAGGGTCTAGGAAAAGGTTATAAGTGTTTCTTCTAAAGGGTTTGGGAGATGCTGGATTCCGACTTCACCTGTAGGTTTTGGCGGCTGCAGGTGAAATTTCGTCTTTTGGTAAAGGCCCTGCCCTGTCCCTCGAACAGCAGCACGCTCAGGATTTGTGAGATGCCGGGCAGGCCGAGTCCAAAAGAGTGCAGAATTACCCTAAGCCCTAAACCCTAAACCCTAAACCCTAAACCCTAAACCCCAGACCGTTTATGGAGGGTTGGGGGTTTTCAGGGGCACTTGGGCTTAAATCTCAACCCTGCACTTGGCCCTACCCTGGCAGTTACCGGTCACCCTCAATTTGGCTTCAAGCCTTCGGGCTTACAAGCTTTTTAGGTTGAGGGTTTAGGGCTGAGTCGTTGTGTGTTTGGGGGGCCCATTCCTCCAAAACCCCGTGTCAAGAGGGTTGTTTCATAGCGTTTTGGTGCTTCTCTAAAGAGTTTTGCAAGGTTTCTCACGTCTATAGAGGGATTCATGCGGTTTCATAAGGGTTCTGTCGGAGCATCTGTCAAATCTTCCGTAAAGGTAGCTGTGGGAGTAGATGACCTCCGAATGCGGGATTACAGACTTCGTTTGGTTTGGGGCTTTGTAAGGGTTCGGAATTGTGCGCGGGTCTGTGTAAAGAGCTTTGGGGGGTCTCCAGCCCACAACACGTGTACTTTGAATTGCGCGGGGTCCGTAATGTGCTTTGAGGTATTTCCTGCACGGCATTTTGGGGTTTTTAGGGGGTGTTGGGTTTCGTATTTAAGGTTTTATTATTATCCTGAACCGGCCATGATCCCTAAACTAGTTAATGAGATATCCCAAATTCTTAAACCCTAAACCCAAAGCTCTAAACCCGACACCCTAAACCTCTGAATCCTAAGCCCTAAACTTTGGCCCTAAACCCTACA